CGACTTCGGGTTCTGGAAAATTAAGATGCAAGCAATTTTAATTCAAGAGAAGTGTATCGATGCTTTGAAGAGTGAAACATTGATGTCTACAGGGCTTACACAGGTACAGAAGACCGAGATTGTGGATAAGACCAGGAGTTCCATTATGTTGTGCCTCGAGGATAAATTTTTAAGAGAAGTCGCCAGGGAGCAAAATGTGATTGCTATGTCAGAAAAACTTGAATCATTGTATATGACAAAGTCTTTGGCTCACCGGTTGTATCTAAAACAACAACTCTGTTCATTCCAAATGATGGAGAACAAATCCATAGTTGAGCAGCTCATAGAATTTCACAAGATTATCGATGATCTTGAGAATATTGAAGTGAAGATTGATGATGAGGATAAGGCTTTTCTCCTATTGAGTTCATTACCCAAATCCTTTGAGCACTTTAAGAATGTCCTTCTTTATGGTAAGAAAGGTACTATTACTTTGGATGAAGTCCAGATGGCGGTGAAATCTAAATAATTTTTAAAGTCAAAGGATTTGAAGATTGAAGATAGTGGTGAAGGCTTAAATGTGTCAAGAGGAGGAGGTGAGCGTAAAGGGATGTCCAAATCAAAGAGATTTGACAAGTCAAAGGTAAAATGTTTTAATTGTCAGAAAATTGGTCACTTTAAAAGGGATTATCCTGAAAGAAAGATCAATGAAGATTCTATTCAAACTGTAGTTGCATTGGATGAGGAAAGTTATGAGGATGCCGAAGCACTAGTAGTATCGAGTTTGGAAACTGAAGATAGTTAGGTCATTGACCCAGGTTTCTTTTATCACATGTGCCTAAAAATAGAATATTTTGAAACTTTGAAGATGGTTCAAGATGGAGTAGTTTGCCTTGGTAATAATAAGGCATGCAAGGTTCATGGTATTGGTACAGTCAGATTTAAAATGTTTAATGATCGTGAACTTCTTATTCACAATGTGAGGTATGTTCCAGAACTCAAGCAAAATTTGTTATCTATAAGTATGTTTGATGATCTAGGCTATTGTACTAGAGTTAAACGTGGAGTGTTGAATATTTTGCGTGATGAATTGATTATTTCTAAAGAGTCTAAAATATGTGGTCTATATATTTTAGAAAGTTCAAATGTTATTATTCATTCATCGTTAACTAGTGGAGCCTTTCATGACAAGGAAAAGCTATGGGATTTCAATTTAAGGCGTTATGAATGCCTTGAGAAAGTTTCGGAGGAGTACAATGAATTTTGCATAAATCAAGGGATAAAAGTGCATGTTACCGCTGAGTTTTTATTGAGTTTTTGGGAAAGAGTTGAGGTTAAAACAACTTACTTGGTTGGTAGAGAATTTCTTCAAAAGAAGAATAGTGAAAACCAAGGGAGAAACTTGGGAGAAACTATAATGGAGAAAACTCAGTTTGAGGTAGAGTTTCCTACTATGGATGCTAGTGGTAGTGAGGGAACGGATACAGAGATCTCTGATTATCATTTGACTCATGATAAGGTAAGGAGAATTATTGTAGCATCTCAAAGGGACGGTTATGCTAGCCTTGGATATTATGTTTTTAATGTGGCTGAAAGACTCAAAAATAAAAGAAGAAAAACCTTCAGGGAGGCATTTGAAAACCGGTGGAGTTAAGGGTGGTTGAAAAATCATATTTGTAGGCTTGTTAAATTACCTAGGCAGAAAAGGGTAATTGGGAACAAGTGGATTCAAGTTGCGAGATTAAGATTCAAGGGTTGCTTGAATTTGATCAAAGTTATTGATTAAAGTTTCAACTTGGTAGAGAGCAGCAATGTTGTTAATTATTAAATTGGTATCAACACGATTTAAAGTCTAGGTGGAGATTGTTGTAAATGTGTCTTAAAACCTTTGTTGATGAAGAGAAAGAAAATATATTTTGGAGATTGCATTTACCGCGAAAATCAGACAAAAACTCGAAAGAAAAAAATCGTTCGGTGAATAGTGGCGTCCGCACGGTGAATAGTGTCATCTGTATTGATGAATAGTGACGTTGGTACGATAAATAGTGTTGTTCGTACAATGAATAGTGTTTTTGAGTTTTCGGGCTTTTTCGATTCGGTCCATGGATCCATGTGATTTTGAGCTTTGTTTGTTAGGTATTTACTATTATAAATATGTATCTCTTATATGTTTGGTGTGTGACAATCTTAGAGTTTTCACCAACAAGTAAGACCAAGGGTTTAAAGGTATTCAGCGACGCACAAAGAAAAACTTGGATTACACCTTGGGTTGGGTAGAAAATAGGGTTGTTCTTGGGCGCCTTCAGGGTTGTTCTTGGGAACCTGAAGGCGAAGGCTATTTTCTTGTAACTCATCTGTAATCTCTTGTAACAACTTTCTGAGTATAGCGAATTGGAGAGTTGCTCTCTCCCCTAGAGTAGATCGTTTGATCGAACTGGGTAAACAAACCTTCAATTTTTTTCTTGCCTTATTCTGTTATATTATCTATGTACGGATTATTATTGCTGAAGACCATTTATTTTGGTTGCTATTGTTCTTTGCCTCACAAATTGATATTGAATTTTGTCGTAATTCACAACAAAAACAATATAATATAATTTTTTTCAATTTCTACGTTGCAGGGTGAATAACACCCAACAAGTACATTAATTTGCAGGGTGATTAACACCCAACATATTCAGCCGCAACTTTGATGTTTTCTTGTAGTAATATAAAAGGAATGATTGGTAATTGCGCACACTGTGGAACGACGTAAAATACAGTCAGCTGTTAGATTGATTTGGGAGATCAACACGACATTCTCGTGAAGTATATTCTGCAATACAAGGAGAAAAGAGTTTACTTGTCCCTCGTGTGGAAATTTCGTCCATGGTAATTGAGCCTTCGCCCTTTAAGTCTTGGGGATGGTCCAATATATATATATATATATATATATATATATATATATATATATATATATATATATATATATATATATATATATATATATATATATATATATATATATATATATATATATATATATATATATATATATATATATATATATATATAAAGAATATTTGTATATATGATTTTAATATTTATCTTATCATGTAAGTTTAATACATAAAATAATAAAATAATATTATCATGTTTTTTATTATGTATCCCTCAAATATATGATAAATGATAAAGTATTATTTAGTTTGATATTATTGTATCATATCTTTATCTAACTCTTTATTTTTATTATATTTTTATCATATCATTTGCACTTAGGAGTTTTACATATTACATAATATTGGGGGAGACTGTAAAATGTGGGAGTTACAATTGGTTAAGGACTATAAAAGATATTGATATTATATTTTTAATCGAAACCTTTAAGCAATTAATGTATATATGAATCACTATTTTTTACATACAACATCTTCTTTCTTTATGGTTGATGTGAAACTTAATCATAAGGTATTAACGGATCAAACTAAATTGATACAATTAAATTGATAATTCAAACTATAAAAGAGATTGATTTTTTTGGTTTGGTTCAAAAACCAAACCAATGGTGATGGTTTGATTATCGGTTTTAATTTTTAGTAATCGTGAAACGAATGAACCGAATTGATGGCTATAGTTATTCTTCTTCTTCGTGTTTTAAGTTTTCTTGGTTAATTTCCATCTCTTTTATTTATACATTTTTTTTCTTCTTCAATGAAATTACTTTTAATTGGTTATTTTGATGTGTATTTGAAGTGTGAATCATGTTAATTTCTAATATATGAAAACCTTTTGTTTTACTATTGTGTTTTATTTGATATCGCGGTGTATGAATGAAGTACAACTTATAAATTGTTTGAAAAGTAGAGCATGCAATAAATAAAAAAGATTATATAAAATATAATATTTAAAAAAATAATAACAAAAAAAAATTAAAAAATATGATAGCAGAAAATACACAAATTAATATAATATTTAAAAAAAGACTGATGTAAATCGATCAACTGAACCAAAACAAATTAAACTAAACCAATTAGCTTGGTTCGATTTATTTTTAAAAAAAACTAAAAGTCAAACCAAACTAAATGAAGGAAGATATTATCAATTTGGACATTTTTTTTTACCAAAAATCAATTTAAATCTAGTCAATTAGACCTCTACTTAACTACTAAGAACATCTTTAGTGTGAGTATTTTAAGTGAGTAAACTAAAATATTTTTTGTGGGCCCAAAGTGATTTGTAGAATTTAAAAAATTTATAGTTGATTTGAGTTGTTTTTACTTTAATGATAGTTGTTTATAAAAAAACTAAAATTTGATTCTATATTTTATATTTTTTAATTGTAATTATTTTTTTATTGAAGTTATCATTAATTTAATTATTTTAAATAAAATACATAAAATATTCATTACAAATTTTTTGTGGGTCCAAATTATATAGCATACGTTAGTTATATAATTACCGGAAACTAAAAATTAGTAAATTAAATGACATGTCATAGCCATTCTAATACAAATTTTTTGTAATCATTGTTAACTATAAAAGTTTAATTATTAAAAACATGCATTAAAGATGCTCTAACACTTAAATTTCACTGATTAATTCTATATATATATTTGAGATTTTTTACCTTATTATTAAAAATATATATATATGTTTAAAATCATGTTCATTGAACAACATATTCTATATTTTACCAAATTTAAAAAAACCTTATTCAATAAAATTCTAGAAGTTCTACATCTTTTAACTATACTTTTTTTACTAGTATCATATAAAATTAATTTATTAAAAAATTTATTTAGATAAAAAATCATATGGTCAACATTGTAAAAAAAGATATATTCACATTGAAACTAGTCAACAACATTTCATCATCTTTTTCTTTGATACTTTAAGTTATAATTTCTTTTACTTAATTTATCATTTTACATTGCCTCATTGTATGGTATAAATATGTGAACATAACCAACATATTTTAACATTTTAAATCAAAATAACCTCAATTTCTTCTCTACATTCCTTGTTGCAGCAATAACATCATGGGTTCTGAAGCCCCTCTCTCTGCTCCAAATATCACTGATGCAAAAAGGAATGATGGAGAAGCTGGAAGTGATGATGATCATCCACAAATTCCTGGATGGTTTGCAGAACATTGTCCAATATGGCCAGGTTGGTTAATATGAATGAAGCTTAATATTTTTTTGTTCTTAATTTTGATGCATTTGTTTATATCCTTCTGTTCATAATTTTAACAAAATTATAATTGTTTGCACTCATGAAATAATTTAGTTTTGACAAAACTACACAAATCATTCTAGATAAAAGAGTTTTGAACTAAATAAACTGATCCCTAGAACTTTTTTAATTGTTAATTGATCCCTTTAATTTTCAAAATTGCAAATTCTTCTCTATTTTTCACATTTGACCTCAAAACTTTTTAAATTTATAAATAAAATTTTGAAGAATTTATAAATAAATAAAACTCAATTGATTTATTTAAATTGTTTAGAATTTTAATTTTTCAAAATTTTCTAATTAATTTTTTTCAAATATAAGATATTTGTTGGGGGTGTATATATCTGTACATGCTTGAAGTGCAAGGGTAATTAAATGCAATTATAATTTTGTTATTATGTTGTGTAAAATACATGCATGTCAGGTTAATGAATAGTTCATATTTTAATCCTCTCTCAATCCCCACACCTTCCTTAAAAAACAATCTAAAGTAATTAAATATGTTGTCACATGGACATTGCTCAATAGGTAAAGTAAATTATAGCAAATATCATAGACCTCATAATTTTTATTAATCATCTATTTTCCTATTTGTAGTTTCTTTGTTACAAGAGGAGTTAGAAATCTGATGAATGACTAGAAATGATTATGTTGATTTCTAGTGCTTACAGCTAATTAAATTGATTGTTGAAATATTGCAGGAGAAGCACACTTCTTGAAGGTAGATAATATTTGTTTCCAAGGGAAATCTCAATTTCAAGATATGCTAGTTTTTCAGGTAATCATTATATATAACCATATAAAAAAAATGTTATCTTATTTACATGGCTTGATATTAAATTACTATACTACTAAAAGTTGAAATTTTAGTCACTTAGAAAATCAAAATATTATCCGCAAGTATGCAAAAGTCGATATTACTAGGTTAGATACCATAAGCAAGTTCAAATTCTAATAATTCTAATATTCACAGTTGTATGCGAGTTTTTATTAATTATTACTGCTTTGTCTACGTATTAAAAAAATCAAAATGTCACTAATATTACAATTTTTCCGTCTCTAACTTTTCGGGATATTTGAATTGCAGACATCAACATATGGCAAGGTATTTGTTCTGGATGATGCACTCCAGCTCACTGAGAAAGATGAATGTTCTTACCAAGAAATGATGACTCACCTTCCTCTTTGCTCAATCCCAAACCCTAAAAAGGTTCATATCAAATAGTGTTACATATTCAATAGTATAATACTATAATATATTATAAGTGTATTAAACCATGATTTTTTGAAACATTTATAGGTGCTGCTTTTTGGTGGAGGAGATGGTGGCATCCTTAGGGAAATTTCACGTCACTCTTCTGTTGAACACATTGACATATGTGAAATTGACACTATGCTCATTGATGTGAGTAAATTAATGTTTGCCCTAATGTGAATAATATATTATTATGTGTTACCCTATTCTTGATGATATAGTCTAAGACTTTTCTTTTTTCAGGTTTATAAAAAATATTTCCCAGATATAGCTATTGGATACAAGGACCCTAGAGTTCAGCTTCATGTTACAGATGGTATATAACTACTATATAGTATAATATATATCCAAATATAGTTCATTATATCATTTTTGTTATTGAAGTTATTTATGATTTTTAATAATTTGAAACTGTGACAGGAACACTTTTTCTGAAATCTGTTGCAAAGGGCACTTATGATGCAATAATAGTGGATGCATTCGACCCAATAAGTACATTTTTTAAATTTTTTTTCTACTAGTTCTTTGTTGTTACTTATGAGTTATTTTACACATCTTTGTATAGTAATATTTATGTATGTGTATATATGATTCAGGGTCTGATCATGAGCTATTTGAAACTGAATTCTTTGAACTGATTTCAAAAGCTCTTCGTCCTGGAGGAGTTTTGTGTATCCAAGCAGAGAGCTTTTGGTATAAGTCATTGGATATTGAAGAGCTTTTAATCAAAAGCCGCAAAATTTTCAAAGGGACTAGTGATTATGCATGGACAAATGTTCCAACATATCCAAGGCATGTAATTAACATGTGCATTGAACTAACTTAATTAGATTATATTATATATAAGTTAATAATCAACTAATTAGTGTTTTTTTGATTGATTCAGTGGAGTGATTGGTTTCTTGCTTTGTTCAACTGAAGGTCCACATGTGGACTTCAGAAATCCAGTTAACCCTATTGGTCCAGAAAATTATGGTGTGTCAAAGTATCCTTTGAAGTATTACAACTCTGAGGTACTAATAATGATTAAGCAATAATTAAGCATGAATATTTGTTTATATTTGTTTCTTAATGCATGATTTGACACTATTCTCTTTGTTGCAGTATCATTCAGCTTCATTTTGCTTGCCATCTTTTGCCAAAAGGACCAAAGCTAAGAGCACTGCATGAAAGGGGACAAGACATAGAATAATAATTAGAATAATACCAACATTTCAGCATGTTTCTATTCACAGCTATTCCAACAATAATCATTTTTTTAGGGGACAATAATCATTTCTAGATACCATTATTATGTCAAGGTTTTATGAAAAGCTTGTACTTTGGTATACTGAAAATTTTCTATTATGTCATGCTTTCCAATAAATTATACATGCATGTTTCAGAAATGTGTTGCCTGTATTGATATTTTATGATATTGTTTATCAATTTAAAATCATTGTATGTTTGGTGCAATTTAGTAGTAATGGAGTAGCTGAAATAATCAATAAAATTACTGAGGTGGATTTAAAAGATCACACTTGAATGTAGTATAGTTTATGGGTTATCAAAACTCAGGACCATAGATTGAATGAACATTATTGTTCAGATTGCTTAATTCACAAGTTAATGAATATAAAAGAGGGTCATCAAATTAAGAGGGATGCAAGATGTAATTTGATAGACTTAGAATTAAGGCAACTAGGTAATTGAATTCAAAATACATTTTGTAACATTGTGCTTGTCTTGCAAGTCACTTACTTGCAACATATTCAAACTGCCACTTAATATGAGTTACAATTCCGATACTCCTAATTCGGATCAATTAGCCTTTCTTAGGGCTGACAATGAACCGAACCAACTCGAAAATAGTTCGAAATTCGATTCGATAATTAAATCGTTGAACTAGATTTATGAACCAAATGAGTTTAGTATGAGCGAAAAATTAAGTTTGTTAACTAAATGAGCTGAACTTGAACTATACATAGTTCGACTCGTTAGGTTCATGAGTCAACTCGATTACATATCAGAAGAATTATACTGTCTTTAAGATTAGGTTTAAATATTTACTTCAAATTTTAGACAAATTTAATCTTCAATTTAGTAGTTTTTGAATTAGACTCTCAAATGTATCTCTTAAAAGTTGTGTAGGTTTTGAATTAGTAGATTTCGAAGATAAAGTTAAATTTTAATATGATAACTTTTATTTTATTTTAAAAAAATATATTTATTTAAAATGTCAAATATACTAAAAAATATATATATATTTAAAAAAATAGTTTTTAAGCCCGTGAATCATGTGAGCTGAACCTAATGAGATGAACCTAACGAGTTGAACCGAACCGTTCGTGAACTTATAACGAGTCGAGTTTGAACTTAAAAAAAAGTTCGTGTCGAACTCGAACAATTCTTAACGAGTCGAGCCGAGCTGAGGTGAGTTCGACTCGACTCGACTCATTTCCAGCCCTTTCCTATTCGCATGAATCCTTTGAGACATTTAAACCTTATTCTTTTTCCAATTGTTTGGTTAAATTATCTGCAAGTTGTAATTCAGTCTTGCAATTCTTTATCTTCAATTTGTCCTTGCCTACTTGGTCTTTTAGAAAATGGTATTTTCTTTCTACATGTTTGTTCCTTCCATGGTTCATTGGATAACTAGTTAGATCAAATGTTGATTTGTTGTCAACTAACAACTTGATCTTCACAACTTCATTAACCTTCTACTCTTCCAACAACATTTCAATCCACAATGCTTGGCAAGCTGCATAAGAGGCTACAACATATTCTATCTTACAAGATGATAAAGCCATAATATCTTGTTTCTTTGAGCTCCTTGAAATTGGAGCTTATCCAATCATTAACAATTACTATCTTGTATAATCGTGTCTCCTCCACCGTCTGAGTCACAATAGCCATTAGCATTAGTCTCTCTTTTGATGTTCTTCTGATACGCCATGAGTATACCATGATTTGCAGTGTCTTTAATTTATATGAGGATTCTTTTAGCTCCTAGTAAATGATATGATATTGGTTTCTCCATGAATTTACTTACCAAACAAATACTGTAGAAAATATCAAGTCTAGTGTTACATATGCACCTTAGATAGCCAATGATATGTTTATATAAAGTTGCATCTACCAGTTCATCATTTGTGTCCTTCTTTAACTTTGTGCATGTCTCTATGGGAGTAATTGCAGAGTTGTAATTTCTTATCTTGAATTTCCTCAAGATTTCATCTACATATTTCTTCTAGTGCAACAAAACACCAAATTTTGTGTTCACAAATTCTATATAAGAAATAAGTCAAATTTCCTAGATCTGACATCTCAAATCCATTCATCACACTGGTCTTGAATTTTGTCACTTCAGCTTCATTTGGTCTTGTTATCAAAATATCATCTACATATAACACAAAATGGTTCAGTAATTTTCACTTGAACCTTTCACATACACTCCATGTTCTTATGTCCATTTGTTGAATCCTAACTTGAAGAGAAAATTGGCATTTCTCTTGTTCCATGCCCTAGGTGTTTTTTTTTCGGTCCACACAATGTTTTCTCAATTTGTACACCTTTTCTTCTTTCCTTTTGATTTCAAAATTAGGTGGTTGCTTGACATATACCTCCTCTTCAATTTTTATTTTGAGAGGGTGACTTCATATCCAATTGATGCACCCACCACCCTTTTTATGCTGCATTGGCCACCAGTATGATTTCAAGTCTGAAAACTGGTGTATAGACCTTATTGAAGTCAATTATTGGCCTTTCAAGAAAACTTTTTTGCAACTAGCATTGTATTGTACTTGTCTATCTCACCATTTGGTCTAAGCTTCAGCTTATGACTCTTCATTTACATATTAGCTCTCTTACTTGAGTGATTGACTAATTCCTGAGTGTGAATATTCTTCTTAACTACCTTAAGTTCTTATTTTATAGCTTTTTACCAAATTTCATCTTTCGGGGCTTTATTGAGGTCAGTTGGTTCAGATTCGGCTATCATGGCTTATCCAATCAGGTCACCGTCTTCATTTACTTGGTTAGGAAATCTTCCAAAGTTAGTTAATCTAATTGACTGAGTTTTGATCCTAGTTGGTCTTTTCACCTCCTATTCTTGCAAAACCTATTCTACTTGATCTTCTTACAATAATATTATTCTAACATTGCTTGAGTTTGCATCATTTTTTGATGGATCATTTCGAACTTGTAGCCAGTTTTGTCCTTTCACTACAAGAAAATATATCTTCAGCCACATAATAATCACGTGGCAAAAAAAAAGAGTTGCGACGTGAATTACACGTCACAACAAATTTTAATAATTAAATATGTTCTTAGATTGAAAAACATTTTTAGATTTTAAAAAAAATCGTGTTAAACACGTCGCAACTTTTTTTTTAAATAAATAAAAAAATTAGTCAGACATTGCACATGGGGGAGATTTGAATTTTAAAAAAGTAACGTTGTGACGTGAAAATCACGTCGCAACTAAGTTTTCAGAAAAAGAAAACATAACGTGAGAATATTTTCTGACTGATTTGATGGCTTAATCAGATTCAGATGACCGTTGTGTCTGATTAACCTTAGTGACGTGGAGATCACGTCGCGAGGTAACAGTTGTATTTTTTTACCACATGAATAACACGTCGTAAGTTGCGACGTAATATTCATGACGCAAGATTCCATATTTAATTCACATATCTGTTCTCACCCACACCACTCCACACTCAGTCTCATTTTTTCACCTCTTTCCACTCTCACACGCAGAAAAAACACCCCTCAAATTTCTTCCTACCTCTTCAACTCATACTTATATTTTTCTTCTTTCCTCTTCTTTCCTCATCCAACCTCAATTTATTCATATGTTATATCTTCAAATTTAATAAGGTAAACAATTATTTATATTTTATTTATTTATTTAATTTTCTGTCAATTTAATTTAATTTTGTTATTAATATTGTTTTTATTTTTTGTTTTTAATTTTGGTTATTAAAAGAAGAAGTTACTCCACAAAATATATTTTATTGCTTCATTAGGTATTTTTGCATTTATATTTTTTTTCTTCAAAGATATATATATATATATATATATATATATATATATATATATATATATATATATATATATATATATATATATATATATATATATATATATATATATATATATATATATATATATATATATATATATATATATATATATATATATATATATATATATATATATATATATATATATTGATATATATTGTTAGTAATTTAATTTAAATCGAATAGGTTGAGGTTAGAATCGTGAACGAAATGACTTACTTAAAAGTATTTCAAGCACTCTCAAATATGTCTTAGAGTTGGAATACATGAATACCCATGATAATTCAGTCTTATATCAAATTTGCGTAAGACCGACGAAAACTTGATTATATAGCGAAGATTGTTTGGAATTTTGTATAAGAGGATATTTGATTTGCGATACCTTTTATGAATTTCTGAATGAGGTATTTATAGGTCATGTATGTGTTGTTTCAAATGGTTGCGACCCTTGATGAAACAACATCTTTTAACCAAAATTTGCAATGTTTTCAAGCATTGCCTATGTTCATTTCAAAGCAACACTTCACGAAGTGTTGTATATTTTGAATTAGAAATTCAAACTTTCAGTAGCGCGAGACAAATTTAATGACAACTTCCACTGGTGGATGTTTAGTGCAAAAATTAACCAAAATTTCCTTCAGACAGATTAAAGGTGGTGAATGTTTAGTGCAAAATTGACCAAAATTATTTCAGACAGATTAAATTTGGTGGATGTTTAGTGTAAAATTGACCAAAATTCCTTCAGACAGATTTGGAGGCAATTTTCCATTTTGTCCATAGGGAACTTTTGTACTCTTTAACTTCGTCATATTTGAACACACCCATGGGCATTGATTGTCCATTAAATTTTAACAATCCCCCATTTGTTCTAATAATGACAAGTCTAATTCCAAAAAATGAAGTATAAAGAATGTTAGTACAGTTAGGTATCTTATAATTTAAAACTTAACCTTAGTAAAGACAACGCAAAGTCTAATCGGAATGTTAGGTAGCAATGCTTTTAAACCATTAATCCATATAAATAGACTGATGTTACCTCACACACATTCTTTAAGGATATTCGCCTACATTTCTCGCCTAGCACTTATTTATGGTCATATGCTT